AATGGCAAAACATGCGAAAAAGAGGCTACTGAAATCGAGGAGATGCTACGATTTGAACAAGAGGCAAGCCACTTGAAATAAATGTTATTATCAGTTTGGCTCCGCTCGGGACTGCACGGCAAAGTAGGCTTCAGCAGAATTGTAGAACTGAGCATAGCTGGGTTCTTGTTACGAGGCATGTATGCTTTTAATGGATCTGATTGATGTTATTAACGAAAGGTTATTATAGTGCTGATGATAAGGCATTCGTTCCCTCAGCTCGTCATTTCCCATAAACATCTATCATATTTCGGGACCCAACATGGACTAGCGGCCGAATAGGATAACTAATGATACTAGAGCTACACAGTATCGGGACTTAGCGTCAACAATCACATGTTTCGGATTTTGGGATGGTCTAGCGATTGAGCGAATTCTTATGCCGATGACATTGAAATTGAAACACCAATACTTATCACAGTGCCACGGACACCGACCATCTTAAGAAGTTTTGGCGGATTAGCTGTCTACTACTTGGGATGGTAAGAAAGTCCTGAGCCGATTTTTCGAAAGCTCCAGAACTTTCGCTTATTGATCGATACCTAGAATCTGCTACGTGATAGATTATCGCTGTCGATCATACTTCTCCGCAGTAGGTATATATTAGCCGGGTTGCCTTCTTTAACTTTAATCATGATGTCGATTCCACAAGAGCACTTTCGAGCGATCATCTTCAATGAATGGCGCTGCGGCACAGGAGCAGTGGAAACCGTCAACATTATCAGCATCGCATTGGGAAGGGACACCACTTCCATCAGTGCCAAGCTCTGGTTCGCAGGCTTCGAAGGAGGAGACACGGCTTCCGAAAACAAGACAAGGTTGGGAAGCCCCCAAACAGTGGAAGACTCCACCGTTCTCGGCGCTGTCGAAGAGGATCCGGAGGTTAGCACCCGCAGCCTTGTGATAAGACTCGGGTGCACCCATCCCACAGTCCTCGGTCCCCTCCACGCCCTCGCCACAGGAAAGTGCCGACTCGATGGATCCCTCATGTCTTGACCGATAGCACGCGGTTCAGGCGGGTACCCATTTGTCAGTTTCTCCTTCTTGTCCGCACCGAAAGGAGTTTTTGGAAGGCATGATTACGAGAGATGAGAGTTGGGTCCTCTACGATTCTAACAAGCACAGTGCCGTGTGGCTCCCTCGAGGAGAAGACCCGCCGACACAAGCAAAATCGGACCTTCACCCCAAAAACTGTCTTCTTTGCTACCTCTGGGATTCGTGAGGAATGTTGTATTATGAGATGCTCCCGCAAGACATACCGCTACCGGCAGCATTTACGCCAGTCAGCTCCAGAAACTAGCGGACGCTGTTCGAGAAAAACGACCGACCGATGAA